TTTAGTTTCGGGGTTGTACCCTTTGTTCTTAGACTTGTCGTTAGTAGAGTTTTGGTACAATGACTTTCAGGTTCTAGGGCTTGTTCTTCCGCATTTGTTTGATTAGTTGTTTGTTAAAAACCTTGAAATTTATGGGGACTCCATTTTTATTGACATTTAAACATGCTTCTGTATCTTTAAATGTCTTAGTTTTCATAAAATTTGTTTGTTTGAGTTGTAGTAATGGTTCTCCCACCAGATGGTTTGTATGAGTGCCAATCACGATGGTCTGGATCGTGACAATTATAAATTCTAGAAATAATTATATTAATTTCATATTGAATTTGATAATTCTTACATATTTGAAGAATATGTTTTCGCTAGCGATATACCAAATTTTGTTACTTTTTTTATTTGTTGCAGGCTTGTATATAATAATACTATGAATTGAAATGCAATAATTTTATCTTTTCTGGAATAAATGTCTTATTATAATCTTAGAAATAATTATGTTAATTTCATTTTGAATTTTGATTGTTCTTTCATTATATTTATTAAATAAAAAGATCAGTATAATTTTATACATTCTTCAAAAACAGATGACATATCTAGAAAAAGTGGATATTTCTTTCATTTCAAAATAAACTATATATAATATAAAAGTTAAACAAAAGAAGAGTGATATGATACATTTCTTTAATAGGAATTCGTTTATCGATTTTTCTTTTTCTTATTAGAGATTCATCTTCATCCTCATAAGTCATAACTTCCAAATGTTATTTATTAATTAATAATATATATAATTCACATGAAATTACTTAATTACCATAAACCAACCAACTAATTACATTAATAAATTAAATATTTTCTTGGAAAGAGTCCATCCACGTACAAAGCTAACTTCTTTCCATAAGTTGGTTCATGTCTATGCAACAACTCCTAAAGTAAAATTTAAAAGTTGTTCCTTAAGCCAATTTAAATATTTTAAAATTAATCATTGATAATTTATCCTTATTCCTCTTGATATTCTATTTTTCAATCCTATATGTAAATGTGTTCTTATTCTTATTTTTCGGATATGCTTCCATATGTATAATCTTATTTTTAAAGACTTTTATTCTTACAACTTGCAAGGAGATGACTTAATTTTGCTTATAATAATTTTTTTGGGGTCTCTCTCTCTCTCTCTCTCTCTCTCTCTCTCT